CGTTAAAGCAACACGTTAACGCGACGATAAATACGTTTACCTCGTTGGGGAAATACACGGCGATTTTCATTTCCGGGGATTAAATCGCTATGCGACGGTGAGCGTAAACTGGAATTACGAATCGATGGATGATCGTTATAATCGAACACCACGGACGGCCTTTCGAGGATCGGGAGGGGGCAAATTTTTGTCGAGTTCACCGATCTTGTCGATAAAACGATTATGGAACACCTCGGTTTATCGGCAAGATTTACGAGAACGAGCCGCAACGACGACCAATCGACGTTGTCAGCTCGCTATCGATTGCTGCCACGATTTCAACTGATTCCAATGTAACGATCTTGTTAATACGCGATCGTTATCGATACTCGACAAATCGTTCGACAATGAAAGTGACTTCGAGAGAGAGAAAGAGAGAAGATTCGATATGTGTCTAGTCGTATTTGCACAATAAACACATTTATAGAGACTATACGTGATTTTACGTAAATTATTAATCTCCGAATCTCTGACTTGCTGTTTCTTAACATTCTTCCAATTATGCAGATTCTTATGCACTTTTAAACTTTGATGAGCGTCATAAATAAAATTTCAGTTATTATATTCTATTATATTTCGTTTCATTTATTATATTTATATTTTAATAAATATAGTTTATTCCGGATAGTTTGTATATTTTTGCACATTACATAAACACCCGAAATCTACTTACAACCGTTTCACGAACAATAATAAATAAAATTTTTATTTATGCTCCAAATTACCCAAAGTTCATTCTCCCCCCCCCCCCCCAAAAAAATGTACGCAAAGCTAAAATTAATTAAGAGAATAAAACAATCTGCGATAAAAAGTTTCGAAGAGAAACGAGTAAATTTAACGATCGCGCGTCCACGAGAAGAGAGAGAAAAAAAAATAGTTCGATCTATTTTACTTTTCATTTCGGTTCTCTGCAGTTTGCAGTATTTTTCGCCGAGAGCCATATCGAGAACCAGAATCGAGCGTTCGTATTTAGGCCTGGCGGATAAAGCACGTAGACTGTCTCCATAACGCGTATCGTAGATTCGTCAGCGAACCGATTAATCACTGTCTGGTCGCGTCAAAGTCACGTCTAATCACTCCGGTGGTGTCTTCGTTGCACCGTCACTCGGTGAAACGAGGATCGGACACTGATTCGATATATCGACCGAATCTCTAACCCGCCAGCTGACGGATTTACCTACTAACCTAAATATTTCAAATGTACCTAAATCCAACGGATTTGTTTGCTACGAGTTCACAGAGGAATGAAGCTCACTCTGTTCATTCTGTTCTCTTCGAAGGAATTCCAGGCATTTGACCGCCTTCCGCTATTCCACTCCACGTCTAATTGTTACTTCAAAATAGCTCCCTACCAACCGGAAACTTGCATTTCAATTTAATATTAACAACGCTAGGATTTTGCGACCTTTAATATCAGCATCAGCGAGAGGTGCTTGTTCGTCAATTTTTCTTCCTCTGCTTTCATTTTGAAAGAGTTGCGTTTTATACAATTGCGCAATGAAGAGTTTATTTCGAAAATGTCACGATCGTGGAAAGGAATTTAAGTTTAAAATAAATTCGCGAACGATCGAATTAACGAGAATTAAAGCAACACGACAGTCTAAATAAATGAAATATTTCACCTAATAAATCAGAGAGAACAATTTTACAGAGAATTCATCTGTTATTTAACGAATACTGTAATAAAGCAATTTAACTACCGAAATCAAAATTTCCGTCGAATTTTAAAGTAACCCCTTCGTTGTACATTCTGCATCTAAATTATTAACGATCAGAAATTGTAGATAGGTAAATATCATGCTGACGCGTGTGAAATATAATTTTTTCGTTCGAAGTTTGGAAATTATCTGGCATGCTTTGAACTTCGTTCGACATTCGATTCCTAGTGAACCGTGAAAAGAGAGAGAAAAATTTGCTATAATACACGCCTGTTGAATATTAAAGTGCTATGAATATTAAATAATACTATTAAAAACTACTATCTACTGTTACAGCTTCGTTCATTTGACGTCATGTATCATCGGCATGTTCGCGTAACTTTTTCTATGAGTTTCAACTTGAAAAATTGTGTGCAAAAGCTGTTGGAAGTATGAGTGTAACATTTGAAAGAGCTTGTGCAAACGTTAGGGCATTTGATTTTTTCGTTGATTTTTAGAATCCATTACTTTTAGAATACGGATTATCCAACTATATAATATAATTCGAAATGTAAATGATCAAAAGATCACAGTATAAATTTCCTGTTGACCAAGTAAACGAAATCGTCACTCAATTGTCAATTTTTCGAACGTAATAATCCCTCACCTATCTTTTCATTCGCGACCACTATTAATTATCAATCATTTTGTTTTTAATTCAAACACTTTGTATTTAATTTTCACTCATTATATTATTAAATTATAATTTATCATCCGTAACGAGCATAAAAAATTTTGGGGTTTCAAAGGAAAATATGATCGATACTTTTCGCATTATCGCAACAATGATCAACGATTAGTTTCTATATAAGCGTTTCGCTAATTAATCACCGTCCAATTCAAACACACGATTCTCGTACGTCCATGAGGAACTGCAACAACGAGTTGCATTGAGAGCCGAAACTACAGAGACTCTTCTCTTCTTTTATTCCCTCCTCGTGGTCTTTTTATTCCGCGCTTCGTGGCCGAGCTGGCGAGGCCGCTGAAGGATTCTCCGTGTAATTCATAAGTTCCTTTTGTCTTCGCGGGCTCGTGACGGAAGCATTTTTAATTAGCCTCCTAGCTGCTACGCCTCGCTCTACGTGGTGCCGGTTCCTCCGCTGAGAAATGGCACCGTTTCACGCTTAGGCGATATCTCGATTCAACTTTATCGCGGTGTTCCTCTTTCGCAGCGTTTCGTGACTGTAACGAGCCTCGTTTGAAAAAATTATCGCCAATGATAGGCGCGTAAATGTTATCAAACTCGGGGAGAGGAATTTTAGACATGGAACCGCTTCAGATAGATATGAGTGGTTTTACGAACAGACTGATGACGAATCGAGACGTTTTTGTTGAAATAGTAAATGATGTATTTGAATATTTGATGGTTCATTGCCTCGCCGTATCGATAATATCTATAATGATGGTGAATTTACTCACCGAGTTTCAGCCTATAAATGTTTATTATAAGTTTCAAAAAGGAACTTCTACTTTTCTACGTACAATAAGAGATTATACTACGTAAAATCCAGCTACGTGATATTACGTTTGCCACCACGTAACAAACGTAATATCACAGAGGTGGATTTTGAGGTGGCTAAATTGTAAAGATTGTGTTTATACAGAGCAGATAAAATAGGTCTGTTTAATTGGAGTAGATAAATATTTTTGGCTATGAAAATGTTAAAGGAAAATGTAGGAAAGTAATCATATTCTGTTCATACTGTGACGATTGAAAAGTTCAAATAATAAACGTTAATAAACGTTCAAATACGGTGAGAAATGTTGTACATTTAGCTTGTGGCTTTTATTATAGGATAAAATTATAATCCTACATTCAAAGTAATGTTTGATTAAAGATAAAAGCGTACAATATAATAGTGTACAAGCAAGCACATGAATCTGACTGAGAAATACATTTTCTACCATTCATACTCTTTTCAGATCTACTTATAAAGATGATAAATGTTGAAATTCATATCGCTCTAGTGATAAATGAATAAATAACATGGAAATATTTATTCCTTTCACTTCAGTTCAACTTCAATTTCAATTCCTCGATTACTTAGTATTTTGTGAGATTAATCAAGTTAATGTTATCTAGAGAATGAAATTTGTACCAATTACGACTGCTCTTAATGGATGATCATTGATTATTATTATTTATTTTTGAAAAATAATGAAAATATTTTAATTTACGTTATTTAATTACTTTATTAATTTTACATTTATTACTTTACATATTGAAAAGTATCTGTTGAATTTGAGATAGTTTCAAGGAGAAAGCTGTTTTTAGATTTCTAAATTCTAAAATATGGACTGTAGGTGTACAGAGATGTAGATTAAGATAGATTAAGTTCGTTAGTCGTCGGAGAAGATAGATTAAGATAGATTAAGTTTATCTTTCGTTTCCACACTATGGTAATCAAGGTGCGAGTTTATCTTTAGTTTCAAGTAATTACAAGTACAAAACCAGATTCTATGCGTTGCAGGAATATACCAAAATTTGCAACAAATGAGTAAAAACTCGTAAAAATTTGGAAATTTGAAAAACGTATTTTAAAATACTGCGACAAAAGTATTTTAAAATACACACAATAGGAAACATATGTAAATATTCCAAAATATAATAAATTCTTCACAAGATAACACGTATAGTTTTATAAAATTATTTACATGTACGCATAATGTCCTAAATTTCATTTCTAAAACAATTTCATTTCCAACCACTTGCACATTTGTATTCATATACTACATAATTTATAATACTGAGAGAAATTTTAGTCAAACGTATGTATATGTTATTTTATTTCACAAAAGAAGCTTGGTACATCTTGCTTTATAATAATGAGCGAGAAAAGATTATGCTTCTTCAGAAAACGACATATACATCTATATGATTAACAATTTCAAAAATGAAACGATTAACAATTCTTTTCCAATATCTTCTTTTAACTATTTTTCAAATACGGTATGTACATGTAGTACAGTATACTGTAGTGTATTAATTTAATTATTTCAATCTAGAACACTACGTCTGCAACATTTTTTTCTAGTTTACTTTTTAATTAGATAACAATAGATAGATAATAATCTACAAATGATTAAATTGCAACGAAATTGAAACGAATGTGCTAACGGCCATTTTAACAATCGATATCGATAGAAATATTAATCTATAGATATACGCAGTTACCTGCGTTTAATAACATTGTATACGAGATACTCACTGGCGAAAATATTTCTCGTCGTTCCAGGAAATCGTCCTCCTGAGGAAACACACGCGAATTTCGTCGAACCAAGAAAGAAAAACAAAACAAAACAATGATAATTTCTTTCGAACCGAGAGTCTCGCCGTTCAAACCGCAAATATTTCAACGAACGAACAAAAATTCGATTCGGCACGCAACTTCCGGTGGAAGGGGAACCGAAGATTGCCGAACGAATTAGCATCTAAGCGACGAAGACTGACGAAGTGGGGCGCGGGGTGTCATTGTACTGTCGAACTTCATAAGGTTAAGTTGTATTATTTCATTTGACGCGCGTAACATAACCTACTTTGATCATCACGTCCCGATGTATCGTAGCTTTTATTGCTCTTGGTTATCGTTTATACATTGGTATTGTTATTCGTTCAATTAACACGTGTTCATCTAACAATTTGTCATAACACTTCTGTTTGGTTATCAGAATCACTGGTAGCTTCTATCATTAATTCTTCAAGATAGATATCAACTTTAACTTCGGTAATACTTTATTTTACTATAACTGGCAATTTGGTATTATGTATTTGTTATAATTTTCGATTTTTTTTTTATTTCACATGCAATAGATTTATTCCACATACAATATGGCGGATTTGAATGCAACAATGAAATAGCGCGAACAGGGATCTTTCAAATATAGTCGCCATGTTTGAAATTACAATCTGATAACTTCATGAAGGTAATGTCCGTTTTATTATGGCAAAGATAGATGTATATATATTATTTTATTTAATTTGCAACGTTCGAGTCATAATTATTTCAATGTTATTCGAGATATTTATTTCAACGTATAATTAATATATGATATTAATAATTCTGTAATCTGTTGAGAAGATAGAGTTATGAAAAGGAAATCATTTTTTATATTTCAGAGATATTGTGTTAGTTTTTTATTTCAAATATATTAAACGAATTATTTTATTATATTTCACATACTAATATTATACTATTATTATGTATTTGGATCTATATTATCGATCTATGTATATCTACATAGAATATTTCGATTTATATATATATCGATCTATGTATGTCTATATATTTCGACATATGTTAACGATTTATGTGTCTGTATACAGTAAGTTAAAGTAAAAGTTCATTTTATTTCATTACATTTGAATAAAAAATTGAAATAATTTTCACATTGTGCTACATATTAGGTGAGAATTCTTTTTAGTATTGCATAACATAACCTGCATATAATGTATATTGTTCTCATAAGTAGTATCAACTGTAGACGTTTAATTTCTAGCACAAGGTTAAACGTGAATTTTTCGCATTGATGCTTTTCAATCTTACACTTTAATAGTAAATTAATATTAATAATTATTTAATAGAGTTAAATTTTGCATTATCTACAATTTGTCAAATAATTCAAATTTTAAAAATGAAATGTAATATTTCTTGTTTTCTTGCAGATTTCTTCCAGTCTATACTTCTACCATGGTTTCTTCTTGATAACAACATCATGTTTCGTATTTAAGAGTGAGTTGTTTACATTTTTTGTTACATTTCTCTCTGGTCATTCACTCATGTTCATGAATGATCGCGTTTATTCAAGTAGCATTACGTTCGTAAACTGCTCACTAAGATTGTGAGAGGGTATACATTAAACACAGCAGCATTGAGTTTTTGAATTCAGATTCAGATTTAACTATCTTGAGGTAACAGTTCGAGAAACTTTCAAAAACAGAAAGAAAGGAAAAGGAGATAAAACAAATATTGATAAAAAGGAAAATACGCGGTATTTTCTACAGAATATTAGATACGATTTAAAGAAAAATTTTAAGTTCTCAAGAGACAGGTTTTAGTTATGCAGAATATTTTTAAATTATATTCACAGTTACGTAGGATATTTTTAAATTCAGATCTCAACATACAAAAGGATAACTGGTAAGGAGAATTAACACCACACTACTGTAAATGATTATTCAAGTAGGTCATGTTAATAATTAAGTGCATGCATAATTAAGCATTTTATATCTAGATTCTGTAGCGTAGATGCATACATTTGTCGTTTTAATGAAATTAAAAAGAAAAGGAGAAGAGTGTAACAGCAAAACGTTGAAAGTCAAGAATTAAATAATTAATTTTATAATGTGATGATAGATAATTTAATGTTATGATATTCGATCAAATTTATTTATTTTTTCTTCTTTTTTATCGCTGAATTCTCGCTGTAAATCAATTAAGTACTTAAATTTCGTTTTACTACGTTTCATTCGATTTCTAAAGAACTGTTACCTCGGACGTTAAAACTGAACTTTCCACAGGATTCACACTCTCCCATTCGATTTGTTCCCTCCGGAGTAACGATGCCTGTCCTATGTTCCGTATCGGTCGACGGAAGTTCACTAACGGACAGAGTTTCCTCGAGGGTCTGAAACCTCGTATCGATTACCGAGAACTGTTAAAAACTAATTTATTGTCTCCCCAAAAATTTGGTATGTGTATGACACAAGTCTGATATTAAAAGTATAGGAAAACGGGAATTACCCGATTATACGTTTTTTCTCGTTGAAAAATCTTTCTCCAATAAAAATTCCTTAATGTTTGTTCCTAGAACAAATACTGCAGATACTAAAAAATGAAAGTTAGTGGATGATATATTTATTTTAATAACAAGTTCCCTCTCTAGTTGATATCTTTTTTATTCTCGCGTAAATTCCTTTCCCGATTAAATTGATAAATTACTAGATCGTTATTCTTCCTTATCAAAAATTTCTCCTTTAGTTAAGATTCTCTTATTTTTGATGAAACGATAGTGTGTGAACGCAAGTATGACACAAAAAATATAGGAAATTGTCAGATTGCATTTTTTCCAGCAGAAATTCTTTCTGTAGTTGAAATTTTTTTTATGTTTCCGATATGAAATTCAATTTTTTTCTTTTTTCTTTTTTCTTTTTAATTAAAACGCACCGAATAGTGACTGACATCATCGTCACTTTTGTCGAAAATTTCATCTCGCATTCTCTGACAGATTTTTATTTTATTTTGTCATCGTTGTAGAGTAACAAACGGCCGCGGAGATAAATATGGTAGGAACGTGTATTTCACAGTAATTGAGGGATACAGTACGCATAAATAAAATGGTCTTTGAAACTGAATTTTGTTGCAAGGAGTAATTTTTCACAAAAAATATTTCACGAGCGTCGAAGTTTTTCTCTTTTGATGAATCACTCTATCATGTTTTCGACAGTTTTTCGTCAGAATCCAGTTGTTTTGATCTTTTTGTCTGGGTTTGTTTTTTTCTTTTATTACGTGTTTCCGCTGCAAAATAACTCGAGCTCGCAAGGTCCACTGATTTAATTAGGGTACTTGAAATTTTCAGCTTATTTTAGCGAGGTGTTAAAAGTATTTCGTCGAGCGTTGTTATACAGTTAATGGCCTTTGTAACCGTTGTTACATGGTTAATTCTTTCCTTGAATTATCGATGAAAAAACGCGTTGATTATATTCCCCATAAAAATAAATTCTGATAAAAGATTAACAAAAAAACGTTTAATTAACAAAATCGCGCCTTTAATATTCCTTTTCAAATTCTTTTCAATATATCAATACAATCTTACCTAATTTGTAGATATTGAAACAATCAATACTAATTTATTTAGTAATTAAAGTAATATCTTTGTGTAGTTGTAAATTTTAGCTTAAAATTAGTCTAAAAAAGATGTAACTTAAATATTGTGATAAAGATTTCACCTTTTTTTTATTACTTATATTACGAGAAAATAAAAAAATCATAGACACAAGTTCTCAAAACTATCCCCCCCCCCCCATATTATATTTTCAATAATAAAATATGCTATCGAAATAAATATATGGACAACTGAACCCCAAAATACAAAGACAGAAATTCAAAGAGGCAATTTGATTGATTTCACCTGTCTCGAAACTCGAAACAACCAACCAACCGATCCAACCACGTACGTACTCGCAATCCGAAAGATCATTCATAATCTAGCTTGTATACAGTTCTCTAATCGAGCTTGCATCGTAGACGACAATCTGTTCTCCGGTCCGCGCGGTGATTAATAATATTCTTTCACGTCTCGCCTCTCAGGAAGCCGAGGATTCTGTCCCTTTCGCGTGCGGAACGTTTCCCATTCAATAAACAAGCATTCTAGGAGGTTCTTTCTGTCGCTGGCCGATTAGTTTCCGAGCACTTGCTCCTAGAATCGAATCTATCAAGCGTGACATCGAGCCCCATTGTTCCCGGCTCTGTGACGGAGCCCAGCCGGTTGCCCCATTAATCGTCCAAAATTTAATTAAGCACGACAAGAACGAGTCCTGGCACGTTCAGACCACCTGCATAAGTCTCGTTTTACGGCCCGATGATAGGCCAGCCCTAATAAAGCGAACGATGCATTCGTTAACGTTATGGATCTTCGGTGAAAATCATATTATCGTCGTTGTGGCGAAGATCACACTAAAGCGGTTACGCTGTCTTTTTTTTTTCTTTTCCTTTTGGTCGCTCGAAAGTGCGTAAACTGGGGACGTTCATTGAGACGATCTTTATTAACACCTGGTCCACAGATTTATTTGCGCCATTTGAATATTGTTAGGCATATTTTATCTCTGCAGTTAAGATTTTAGTGAAACAATCTTAATATTTATTGTAACTTTTATTTGTTTATTGTAGCTTTGAAATTTTAAAAATATGGCGTAAACTGGGGACGTTCATTGAGACGATCTTTATTAATACCTCATTTATAGATTTATTTGCATCATTTGAATATTGTTAGGCATATTTTACCTCTGCAGTTAAGATTTTAGTGAAACAAACCTAATATTTATTGTAACTTTTATTTGGTTATTGTAGCTATGAAATTTTAAAAATATGGCGTGAACTGAGGACGTTCATTGAGACGATATTTATTAACACCTGGTCCACAGATTATTTGCGCCATTTGAATATTGTTAGGCATATTTTATCTCTGCAGCTAAGATTTTAGTGAAACAATCTTAATATTTATTGTAACTTTTATTTGTTTAGTGTAGCTATGAAATTTTAAAAATATGGCGTCGAAAAAGTGGAATATAAACTCGGCATGTGACATTTACGGAGGATGTAGAAACTAATTTGTGATATTGGGACTAACAGTGACGATGTTGACGAGGACCAATATTTTGAGAGAAAATAATTTTTTACAAAAAAATTAGTATTAGTTTTTACAAAGGAATTTTATAAAAGAATTAATAACGTATATTTTCTTTCCATATTGGTGATAGGAAATCAATAAGGTGTTAAGAGTTTTACAGTGTTCTTAGTTGCCCAGTGATGATCTAGAAAAGGTGTAGGGACCGTGACGTATTTGTAAAGATCGTTCGAGTTCATTTTAATCAACACTTTATTAGTATAGACGAGAAAGAAAATGTTAATGGTAATCTGAAAAGCACGAAGATCGACAATCAGTACTGTACGTCCTTTCTGTTAATTAATTCATCAAGTTTTTCTCTTTATTATTTATAATACTTATTTATTTGCGACATAGATGTTATTTATATCTCAGTACAATTCCCCTGTTAATTTTCAGTAATACATTTCATTCAATTCTCGTTAAATTTCTTTCAAGTTCTCGTTAAATACCGCCCCCTCCCAAAAAAATTCGTAATCCCAAATTACCAATTGAAACGATTCATCGAAATTTCTAATCTCATTGTCAGTGGCAAAACTGAATTCTCATCGTTCGTCTCGCTTTTATGCGCCTCGATATATTTCTGTTATCAGTTTCAAAAATCAACAGCGTCATTCGCGGAAGATCCTCCCCGAATCATATATCCCTGGGAGATCTGCATTTTCCATAGGAACAGGGAACTCTTGGATTGGGAAAACTCGACCGCAGATAATCCTTGCTAGCTAGGTATCGACATAAAGTACCATGTTGCGCATTCCGCGGCGGGTTGGCAACGGGACGCTTTTCTCAGCGTGTTATCGATGAAACGAATCCATAAAATGTCGCGAGGAACGAGCCCTCCCATCGGCCGGTACTGCCGATAAATAACGTTTTGAAATTTCCTGCATCGAACGAGCATGCTCGCGAAAGCTAACGGACGCCCCATTCTCCCTGGAATTAATAAATATCTTTTTCATTTCCCTGCGCGTTCGCTTGCGCCGAGGTCAACCCTTGAGGATCAACGGAAGAGAAACTTACGTTTCGGCTGGCGATTTCGTTGTGAACATCGTGGTTTTAACGCACTCCTTCATCGATACTTGAAAAATTTTCTGTTTCATATTTTTTCGAGAGACGGTTTTCTATTTTCATTATTTAATGATTATCGAAATTTTTCAATTCGATGCGAATCTTGCGATGCAATTGTTCCAGTTTTGAATTAAAAACGTGATACTTGTTCGAGAGACTTTTTTTTATGTATTTTTTTTTTTTCTTCAAGGATTTTATTAACCAACTGGAATCACTTTCATTGGAATCACACATGTTTAAACTTCTTCGTGGTGTATTTTGCGGTCATTCCAATTCTCGTATGATAAA